GTATCCAGAGCTTGTGGGCTGCCTCATGTACCTGATGACCTGCACTCGACCTGACCTTGCATACCCTCTTAGCATCCTTGCACGCTATGTCGCTCCTGGCCGTCACAGGAAGGAGCACATGGATGCCGCTAAGAGGGTGTTGCGCTACTTGTGCAGTACGTCGGGCATGGGGCTTGTGCTTGGAGGGCGAGACCGAGTTGTGCTCACAGGGCACTCAGACGCTTCTTGGGCAGACGACCAGGCCACTCAGCGGTCGTCTCAGGGTTACACCTTCAGCCTTGGCTCTGGCTCAGTTTCTTGGCGCTCTACACGCTCTTCTTCTGTTCTCGGCTCCAGTTGCGAGGCTGAGATCTACGCTACAGCCATGGCTGCCCAGGAGCTACGCTGGCTGACCTACCTGCTGACTGACCTCGGAGAGCCGCCTCGTTCTCCTCCAGTACTGTACGTCGATAACAAGGCTGCCATTGCCTTGTGTGAGGAGCACAGACTGGAGCACAGAACGAAGCACATCGCCCTGCGGTACTTCCTTGCTCGAGAGCTGCAGCAGCGCGGTCAGCTTTGTATTCGCTACGTGGCCACTGAGGCCAACACTGCTGATGTGTTCACCAAGGCGCTTCAGCCTCGTGACCATCAGCGCTTCTGCACTCTACTAGGCCTTGTGCCTACTGGACCTCACTTGCTTACCTCTTGACTTTGCTTGTACTGTGATCACTATATATATCTATACCTGCATGTTTACTCTTGCTAGGTTGTGATCACTGTATCTCTGGCTCTGTTATAAACCTGCATGTGAACTGGTCTTGTGACCACTAGCTTGTGCTCGGAATTTGTGTGGAATCCTCGAGATCCACCCTGAGCTTGTTGTTGCCTTGCTTTGCCTTGACTGGTCTTGTGACCCCTAGGTCTCCCCCACTTTGCCTATGGGGGTGTGTCAAACATTATATATGTTGGGTTTGTTAGGCTACAGTGGGTTAGCCTATATGGGGTACACAATTCTAGGGTTTGCCATTTGTACTGATTTCTCTGTTAGTTCAACCATTCCAGTCTCTTCTTGTTGACACCCACCCCGCACAAGCCATCCGGGGTTGTACAATTTTGGCGGGTGTTATGTCCGGGAGAATACGGTACCTGGCCTGTTACGTGCTCCTTCGGTCCGGATAGTGTCAGAATCATAGACACTAAACCACTGGGATAAAATGGCTTATTTGTGTAACGGATCCGTGCGCTCATAACCCCCCAAGCGAACGCGACTGTAACCCCCTAACGATCGATCGGGGATCTCACAATGCAGATCTTCCGTAAACCCCCGGATATAAGACCCGGGGGTCTTAACATAATCACACCCAAAAATTAGGGGGGTCTAAATAAATTGCACATAAATTATAAGACCCGGGTCTGTACAAAATGTATTTTGTAAGACACATATTTTTTAACCCAAACAAGTGAATTGGATGTGCTTCGTTTATAGCACCCCAAAAATATACGTGAAAGTGACCCCACGAGGATCGAAACCACGTCAACACGATTTCTAGCTTGGAGCCTATTCCCATTGGCCACAAAACGTGATTGGTGGCCACATCAGCAAGAAGGGCACCGTGTGATGGCCCCAGCGCACAGTGTCGCCTCGGCGTTCACACCCCATGCACGCTTCGTGCGTTAGCTGCACGATCCTGGTTAGGGCGTCCTCTACACCCAGTTGCTGGCACGTCTTTGTTTGCGTAGACTCTGGTTCATTTCTCCCTCCAGTATCTTCTTCCCTCCCCTTGCTCGGCTAGCCGGGGTTCAAAGATGGATCTTGGTTGCATTTTAAGGTCACCTCGAAGCTAGCAGCGTGGGATACCCCCGTAAGCCGCCATGGTGACATCCCCAGACGCTGGGACGTCGGCCCCTCGACGCCGTCGCCGCCAGAAAGTCCGTGAACCTCCTGTTCCTAGGCCGTCGCCTAGGCCCGTCCCGCCAACGCCAAGTCTCTCTACCAGCGAGTCGGCAGATAAGGAGCGCAGCGGGAGCCCACGCTGTCCGCTTCCCCAAGTGAAGGTGCCTGTCTTTCCAGAATCAAGCAGGCTGCGGGGTCAGAAGAAGCGGGCGCATGACGCAGAGACGCCATCGCCGAGGTGCCGAATGACGAAGAAAGCGCGGAAAGCTTACACCGTCAAGGAGAAAATGTACTGGCTGAAGATGCTTTGGCCAGGCTCGCCAAATGTACGCAGCCTGATTTGGGCGTCCGGGCTTTGGCCAGGCTCGCCAAAGTCCAGCTGAAGCAGATCCGCGAGTGGCGCAAGTTTAGGGAGCGCCTCAAAGTCGCGGCAGGTTGTCGCCAACGCCTCGGTGGTGCGGGACGAAAGCCCAAGTGGCCGCAGATGGAGGTTGCAGTCTACCGCAGGTTCCTTTCGCACCGTGGGAGGGGACTTCCGGTATCCGTGAGCCTCCTGCAGAGTTGGGCGACGACCTACATGAAGCATCGCCATCCCCAGGAGAAGTGGCGGTCGTCCCACCGTTGGACCAAGAGGTTCCGCAGGCGCTGGTCCCTAGCGCAGCGCGTGAAGACGAAGGTCGGGCAGAAACTTGCTGCAGGTAAGAAATCTCACTTACACCCATCACCACACAATATCCACTTTCCGGTACCTTCTTACCGTAGCTTCTGGTTCTGACTCACCCTTTTTCTGTGCGACACAGATTGCAAGAAGAGGTGCGAGTCCTTCTGGGAGTTTGTGAGGCAGATGCGTGTGCTCAACAACTACCCCCTTGACCTGATCATGAACGCGGATCAGACACCCCTGTTCCTGGAGATGCATGCCGAGCGCACCCTTGAGATGAAAGGCGCTCGTACCGTGCACGTGCGCACCGCAGGGTACGAGAAGCAGCGCGTCACCGTCATGCTGGCGGTGACGGCGGGCGGCTTGAAGTTCCCTCCGTACGTGGTCTTCAAGCGTAAAACTTTGCCGAAGATCCCCATTCCCCGAGGTGAGGTGTGCACTGGTTTATTCTCTGATGTTGTCCGTCGAAAGAATTCCGGCGCTAATGTCTTTTGTTTGTTGTGCAGGTATTGTCGTGCGAGCCCAGGAAAAGGGGTGGATGGATGAGAAACTCGTCCAAGACTGGACCACGCAAGTTCTCGTCCCGTTCCTGAAGCCGCTTCGCGAAGAGGAAAGGCAGCGCAAGGATGCGCTCCTCATCCTCGACTCCTACCGCGGGCACACCACGGAAGCGGTCGGACAGACGATGAAGCTGTTTAAGCTCACGCGCGCGGTGATCCCTGGCGGATGCACGTCACTGGTGCAAACACTAGCGCTGGACGTCTCGGTCAACCGCAGCTTCAAAGCCGGGGTTCGCCGCCGCTACTTCTCGTGGTTCCAGGATGAGGGGATTGATTCCTACACTCGTGCAGGTGAGCACGTCTCTTGAACCCATGTCAATGATTGCCTTGCCTATAGTTTACTCACGAATGCCCTTTCCATGTCCTTTCCCGCAGAAAATTTGAAGAAACCCCCCCCCCGGAAAAGGTTCTCTGCTGGATTGCGGAGGCCTGGGACGACGTCCCAGAAGAGCTGGTGAAAAAGGCTTTCATCACCTGCGGCATCTCCACCGCCGTCGACGGGAGCGAGGATCATCTGATCCTCGCTCACCTCTGAGATAAGGCGGAGGTGGAGGTGTGTGTGCGAGGAGGAGCTGGAGGAGCTCATCCCCAACCCTTTCTACCCCGACCCTTCTGCCGTCCCGAGCAAGGGCAGCGATGCAGAGCTAGTGGCGGAAGCTGGAGAGGAGGAGGAGGAGGAGGAGGAGGAGGAGGAGGAGGAGGAGGAGGAGGAGGAGGAGGAGGAGGAGGAAGAGGAGGAGGAGGAGGAGGAGGAGTACGAGGACGACGAGGAGGATGAGGAGGAGGAGGGTGAGGAGGGTGAGGAGGATGGCGGTTGTAGTCGCGGAGGAGGTGGGGGCTGGAGGGGGGTGGGAGGATGATGGCGAAGAGTGGTGGGCAGAAGGGCGATATGATGGGGAGGAGGTGGAGACCTGGGTTGCTGGTCAGGATGAGGATTAGGTGCCTGTGCATGTGCGTAAATGGTTATGATGTCCCTTGATGAACATGCAAAATGACAAATTTTCATTGCATTTGTTGACAAAGAGTAGTTTCCAAGGGAGTGGGGGGTCTTAAAATGTTAGGTGCCACTTAGGGGGGTATAACTCGGATAGACTATAATAGCATACCCCCCCCCCCCCCCGTATTATAGACCCGGGGGTCTACAACTGGGGGGGGTCTTATATCCGGGGGTTTACGGTACTGACACCCTCCAACACTAGGAGGCCCAAGACTGAGTGCGGCGGCACTTGCCTGCATGTGCATGCATCGAGATTTCGAACCCGAGACGGCTCTGATATCATGTCAGAATCCCAGCCACAAGATCACTAGGATAAAAGGGCTTGTTTGTGTAGCGGGTCCATGCGCCCATAACCCCCTAGGCGAATGCGCCAGTAACCCCTCTAGGATCAATCGGGGATCTCACAGTGCAGTTTCGGAAAATCCTAGGAGAATCTCTGGCTGTTAATGATGCTGCTCTCGTCTTTCAATACCTCGACATCGTCGACCATATCGTCCAGTCGTTAGCAAAGAATAATCGCTAACTTTAGTAAAATGACACGTCTGTCAGAATAACTGAACGAGGAATGAATGAACTAGCTCAGAGTTTGGTACAAGTAGGAAACCCTAACTTTGTGTACCCCCTAAGGTGTAACCCACTACAGCCTACACAATATAAACATACAATGTTTGACACACCCCCATAGGCGCAGTGGGAGACAACCACAGGGTCATGAGACCAGTCAAAGCAAAGCAAAGCAAGCTCAGGGTGGATCTCAAGGATACCACACAAATTCTGAGCACAAGCAAGTGGTCACAAGACCAGTTCACATGCAGTTTCATAATATAGCAAGAGATACAATGATCACAACCTAGCAGGTGTAAACATGCAGGTATATATATATATAAGATCACAGTACAAGCAGAGTCAAGAAGTAAGCAAGTGAGGTCCAGCAGGCACAAGGCCTAGAAGAGTACAGAAACGCTGATGGTCACAAGGCTGAAGCGCCTTGGTGAACACATCAGCAAGGTTGGCCTCAGTGGCCACGTAACGCAGACAAAGCTGACCACGCTGCTGCAGCTCTCGAGCAAGGAAGTACCGCAGGGCGATGTGCTTCGTTCTGTGCTCCAGTCTGTGCTCCTCACACAAGGCAATGGCAGCCTTGTTGTCGACGTACAGCACTGGAGGAGAACGAGGCCGCTCTCCCAAGTCGGTCAGCAGGTAGGTCAGCCAGCGTAGCTCCTGGGCAGCCATGGCTGTGGCGTAGATCTCAGCCTCACAACTGGAGCTGAGAACAGAAGAAGAGCGTGTAGAACGCCAAGAAACTGAGCCGGAGCCAAGGCTGAAGGTGTAACCCTGAGACGACCGCTGAGTAGCCTGGTCGTCCGCCCAAGAAGCGTCTGAGTGTCCAGTAAGTACAACTCGGTCTCGCCCTCCAAGCACTAGCCCCATGCCCGACGTACTGCACAAGTAGCGCAACACCCTCTTAGCGGCATCCATGTGCTCCTTCCTGTGACAGCCAGGAGCGACATAGCGTGCAAGGATGCTAAGAGGGTATGCAAGGTCAGGTTGAGTGCAGGTCATCAGGTACATGAGGCAGCCCACAAGCTCTGGATATGGGCCACTCGGCTCTACGGACTCATCCGAAGGTAGAGCTGAGAGCGAGTGACCGGTAGGCAGAGGAGTGGACTGAGGCGAGGAGTACGTGAAGCGAAAGCGCTGAAGGATCTGCTGCACCATGTGTGACTGAGTCAAGGTGATGGTGCGCCGTGCTCTGTCCCGAGTGATCCGCAAGCCAAGATAGCTTGTCAGTTCACCCAGGTCTGTGCACGTGTGTCTCCTCTGCAGCTCCGACTTCACGTGGGCGAGTGCCGCGGTGTCAGCAGTGGCAAAGACCAAGTCGTCGACGTACACGAGGATGTAGAACGGCGGCAGCGAGGTGTCTGTGCGTAGAAACAGTGACGGGTCAGCAGTGGAGGGAGCGAACCCAAGAGCCGCAAGTGTCGTCCTCAGTGTGTCGTGCCACTCACGTGGTGCCTGGCGGAGACCGTAGACCGGCCGCTGAAGCCTCCACTGGGTACCAGGAGGAAACGACCCAGTGAAGCCAGGAGGGCGGCGCAGCCAGATCTCCTCGTGCAGGCTGCCCTGCAAGAAAGCAGTGCTGAAGTCAAGTGAGTGAAGCTCGTAGTCGCGCTGAGCGGCTATGTGCAGCAGCACCCGAAGAGTGGTCATCTTCGGGGTGGGGGAGAAGGTCTGGAAGAAGTCTACTCCCTCTCGCTGACTGAAGCCTCGAGCCACGTAGCGCGCCTTGAAGACCGGAGGAGAACCAGGTGGCCGCTTCACCTTGAAAATCCACATGCCACTGACGATGTTCGCCCCAGGTGGGGGAACCTCGTCGACGTAGGTGCGTGTGGACTTCCAGGAAGCCATCTCTGCGTCCATGGCTGTCTGCCACTGAGAGGAGTAGGGACCCGCCATCGCCTCAGCGTAGGTGCGCGGGGTCGGGATGTCTGGTGCATCCGGGTCTCCCTCAGGGGCAACTAGCATGGACACGAGGTGGGGCAAAGCAGCAGCAAGGCACTGGAACTCCTCCTGTCTGTCCTCAAGGACGTCCGTGCCAAGAGCACACTCACCCCCGACGGACGGAGGACAGACAGACTCAGACTCAGACTCAGCAACAAGGCTAGTGGCGTAGTCTAGACGACACCGGGCAGCAAAGTCTATCAACTCAGCGACCAGAGCAGACGCAGCAGAAGACTCAAAGGTAGGGTCAGTGACAACAGTAGCGAGGAGGCGCGTGACAGTGGGACTGGCAGCACGACGGGAGTCAGACTCCGGATCAGGAAGAGTAGGCAGAGAGGACGCAGGAGGAGACGGCAGCGGAACACGCTGAGGAGCAGTGGAGGGACGCAGAGTCATGTAGTGAGTGCCAGGGACAGGAGGAGGACGCTCACGTGGGACACGACGACCAGTGCGAGCAGGACGAACAGGCGACGCAGGACGAGACTCAGGCTCACGACGCTCTGTAAGACCTCTTGTGGGACCAGTGTAAGGAGAGGGAGCAGGGAGAGGCGAGGCAGGCGGGAACTGTGACTGCGACTGGACAGGCGGAGGACACGCTACGGAGGGAGGAGGACAAGGAGGAGGAGCCTGACCAAGAACCTGCTGAAGAAGTGGTACGAAGTACGGTCGCGGCCGCGTAGCGTCTCCAGAACCAGCAGAGACACCAGCGGCAGGGTCCTCAGCACCAGCAGCAGCTCCACCGTCCGGGTCCTCAGCTCCAGCAGCAGCTCCAACGCCCGGGTCCGCAGCACCAGCAGCAGCGCCACCGCCCGGGTCCTCAGCACCAGCAGCAGCTCCACCGCTCGGGTCCTCAGCACCAGCAGCAGCTCCACCGCGCGGGTCCTCAGCTCCAGCAGCAGCCCCAACGCCCGGGTCCTCAGTACCAGTAGCAGCGCCACCCCCAGGGTCCGCAGCACCAGGAGCACCACTCCGAAGACTGCAGCGCCGCGTGTACCACTCTCGGATCTGCTGAATGGGGGGGAGCTCCTGGGCAGGAGGGGAAGTACTGGTACGAGCTCCAGTAGTACCTCTCCGGAGGCGGCAGTACTGTAGGTACCTCTCCTGCAGCTGCCGGGAGGAGAGGGCTCCTCCAGGTGTAGTACGCTCAGGCTCAGCACCCCCAGACTCAGCACCCCCAGGCTCAGCACCTCCAGGCTCAGCACCCCCAGACTCAGCACCCCCAGGCTCAGCACCCCCAGGCTCCGCACCCCCAGGCTCCTCACCCCCAGGCTCCGCACCCCCAGGCTCAGTACCCTCAGACTCCTCACGGTCAGGCTCAGCACCCCCAGCAGGACGAGAGTCAACAGCTACCTCGACAGGCTCAACCGGGTCTACCTGGGACACACCTGAGGGAGCAGCACCCTGAGGGGGGAGGGGGTCTGGTACCTCAGCACCTGGAGCAAGGAAGAGAGGCGGGGGGGGGAGCGGGGCAGTGCGGTAGGGGAAGAGGCGGTAGTAGGGGACGGACTCGTCAAAAGTGACGTCCTGAGAGGCCAGGACACGACGCGAGGTGGCGTGGTAGAACTGCCAACCAGGCGCGTCCGGGACAAAGCCAAGGAAGACACAGGGGACAGCGCGACGGGAGAGCTTGTCCGCGGACGTATCGCGAACAAAGGCTCGAGATCCCCAGACCCGAAAACGCGACGCATCGCCAGCCTCTCCCGTCCAACGCAGTGTCGGAGAAGTCTCCGGTAAGGAGACACGGGGCCAGAGGTTGAGCTGATGCGCAGCGTATCGGACTGCAAACGGCCACAGAAAGTGGGGGGCAGCCGCATGAACCAGGGAGGTACGAGCGACCTCCATGACCAGGCCAATGCGGCGCTCAGCAACCCCATTCTGCTGTGGAGAGGCCGGAAGCGTGAACGACTGCTCAATGTCGTCCTGCTGACAGAAGGCCTCCAGGAGGCTAGAGGAAAACTCCCCACCTCTGTCAGAGTGCAGACGCAGGACAGGGAAGTCGGAGCAGAAACGCTCACTGAGCTGGAGACGAGATCTGCGGATCCAAGGGATCAAGACATCAGGGACTTCACCCTTGGCTCGCAAGGGGAAGACCGTGGTGTAGCGCGAGAAGTCGTCAACAACAATCAGGAAGTACCTCTCCTGACCCTGTCCACGGACGCGGGCTGGGCCCCACACGTCCAAGTGGAGCGTCTGCAAAGGAGCAGTCGTCGGGGGGAAGGAGGAGGAGTGAGGAGCGGCGCGCTGCCGCCCCTCGACACAGGGAAGACAGGGAGGAGCAGGCGAGGGTGGGAGGGGAGGGAGAACCCTGGGAAGACCAGCAACAAGGTCCCGTTTGTGCATGGCCCGAAGGCGCTGCACAGACGGGTGACCAAGGCGGTGGTGCCAGAGGACAGTCTCATGCGCCAGAGAGCGACACGAGCAGGGGGCGGACAGCTGACCTGACGCAGACGCAGACGCGGACGCAGCTACCTGAGGGGACTCAGTGGTCAGTGTGTACAGGTCCGACCCCGGCTGCCGAGTGAAGGTAGCCAGGTGACGGCCCGTCCGAGCACACGTGCAGTGGGTCACGCGCTCGTAAGCAGGGGTGAACTGGTGAACACCCCCGTCCTGGAGCGCACTACCTGCCACCAAGTTCGTAGAGAACGAGGGGAGGTAGAGGCCTGACAGTGTGCCTGACGGGACCGCAGGACAAGGAAGGACAGTAGAGGAGGTCGCAACGACCGGACCCCCAGAGGGGTCAGCGAGGGAGACAGCAACTGGCCGAGCAAGAGGCTCAAGGACAGTGCGGTCACGAAAGAAACAGCGAGAAGCACCTGAGTCCAGGGTGAAGGTGTGCAGTGCTGCAGTCGACTCAGTACCAGGGGGGACGGACTCACTAGCACCTAGAGCAGCAGCCTCACCAGGACCTGGGGCAGCAGACTCACTAGCACCTAGAGCGGCGGCCGGACTGGGCAGAATGCCCGGGTCGGGCGGAACACGCAAGTACTGAGCACCCTCTCCACTAGTAAACATCGCATACATGGCAGTGAGAATAGCATCAAAGTCTAAAGCCCAGATATCAACTCCCTTCTTCTCCAGATCAGCCCAGTGGGGCAGGTCAGTGGCATCAGGAAACTGGGCCCGCCACGCGTCAGTAAGGCGCGCGAAACAACGCTGTGTGGGATGCGGCCTCCCACACTGCTGGCCAGTGCGGTCACCAGTGCGAATGACATACGTGCAGGTAAAGCCACGCTGCGCATACCACTCACGGGCGGCCTGAAGCAACGGGGCGGGCTGCTGACTCTGTCCACCGCCAGCGCCTCCACGACCACCACCGCCGCCGCCACCGCCTCGGCCACCTCCACCCCTGCCACGGCCACGACCACCTCCGCCTCCGCTGCCGCCTCCGCCCCTGCCACCGCTCCCGCCGCTGCTGTCACCACCCCCACTGCCGCCACTAGCCTCTCCAGTCCCACCGCCACCCCCACCGCCACCACTCCCGCCTCCCCCGCCACCACCTCCACCCTTGCCCCCTTTGCCCCTGCGGCGCCCGCTCGGAGCAGACGCAGCCCCGACCTTCTCAGCACCAAGGAGGTCGACAGCAGCAGCAGAGGCGATAGAGGGGAGGAGAGGGGAAGGGGAACACCCCTCAAAGAACGGGGTGCGGGGGTCACCACGAGAGGTGCCTACAGCGACGATGCTCGCCTCAGCTGCAAGCAATTCCTTCTCGAGGAGGGCAATGGTGAGCTCAGTGGGAGAGCGAGCGAGGAAGTGATCCCTGACTGCGCGCAGAGAGTCAGGGAGGCGGGTGACGATGTGGTAAAGCGTGATCCAGAGCGGGGGGGGGTTGCTGGCAAGGAACTCGTCAGGCATAGCAGCGCGAAAGCGGGCCTCACTGGTCTTAAGGTGGGTGATGAGGTCAGCGACTGTGCTGAAGGAGGCCAGGTCGGGGAACAGGTAGGGGAGGGTGAGGCGGCCTAGTGCGGCAGAGGCAGGTGAGGAGTAACGAGCAACTACAGCAGTGTACAGGTCCTTAGCAGTCTTGTGCTGGCCAAAGTGCTCGCGCTCATCTAGTGGCAGGGAGTTGCGAATGGCGAAGCGAGCGTGGGCATCACGAGTCTGCCACTGTGAGCGCTGAGTGCTGTCTGCAGTGGTAGGAGGGGCAGTAGCGTGACCGAGGGCATGATCGTACAGTGAGATGTCCTCCTTGGCAGTGAGCTCTAGGAAGAGATGCAGGTCATCTAGCCAGGTTTCGAACTTCACTGGACGGCCCTCAGCATCGAAAGCGAGTACAGGCGGACTAGCCATAATAGTAGCAGCAGTAGCAGTAGCAGTAGTAGCGGTAGCAGCTGCAGCAGCAGCAGTAGCAGTATCAGTAGAAGCGACGGGGCCGCGAAGAGGCGGTGCGCGGGGTCTACGGGGCCAGCGGGGCCTCTATGCGGGGCGCGCGCGGGGACGACGGGGCCGCGGGGACCTCTAAGGGGGGGGGCGCACGGGTCGACGGGGTCGCCGGGCCTCTAGGCGGGGTGCGCACAGCTCGACGGGGTTGCGGGGCCTCTAGGCGGGGCGTGCACGGGGCCGCGGGGCCACCAGGGGTGGGTCGACGGGGCCGCGGGGTCGCGACACGAGGTGCGCACGGGGCCGCGGGGCCTCTAAGTGAGGGGCGACGGGGCCGCGGGGCCGCTAAACGGGGTGCGCGCGGGGTCGACGGGGCCGTAAGCGGGGCCGCTAGGTGAGGGTCGACGGGGCGACGGGGCCGCGGGGCCGCTAAACGGGGTGCGCGCGGGGTCGACGGGGCCGTAAGCGGGGCCGCTAGGTGAGGGTCGACGGGGCGACGAGGCCGCGGGGCCGCTAAACGAGGTGCGCGCGGGTGGGTCGACGGGGCCGCGGGGCCGCTATCGGGGCGCGCGCGGGTGCGACGGGGCCACTAAGGGGCAGCGTGCGGGGTCGACGGGGCCTTAAGGGGCCGTACACGAGGGCGCACGAAGGCGCGGAGGGGGAGGCGCTAACGCAGCACTCCGACAGTAGGTAGGTAGGTAGTAGAGGTGGGCCCGAAAAAAAAACTTAGGTCCTAGCGAAGGACCTGCTCTGAAACCATGTCAGAATAACTGAACGAGGAATGAATGAACTTGCTCAAAGTTTGGTACAAGTAGGAAACCCTAACTTTGTGTACCCCCTAAGGTGTAACCCACTACAGCCTACACAATATAAACATACAATGTTTGACAACGTCTAGCTTTAGGACCAAGTCTTGGCTCCTTGCCTGATTGTTAGATGAAACCTGTAACGTTGTCTAGCTTTTTGGACGAATCGTGGGTACTTGTCTGAGATTTCATATAAAGATTGATGGCTGGTCTTAATAACTTGCAAGCTGTCAGAATATTATGCTCTAGCCTGTAGTGGGGTGCTCTATAGCGAGTACAACCCTTCTAGGGTTTGCTATTTGTATCCCCATTCTTGCTAGTGCAAACCCTCCTTTGCTCATTTCTCTCTTGAATAGCTAGGGTTTACCTAGCTATGGCTCATGATTCTAGCTCCTATTTTGACATGGTATCAGAGCGGTTACGCTCCTGGCCTGTGGGCCCGCCTGCTTCCGCTGCCTTCCTGTGTGTCGCGCGTCCCGTGGCGCGCGATGTTCGTTTTTTTCTTCCCGCCGCGCGCCCCGAGCGCGCGGCGGTTTTCTGCCCGCCGTGCGCCCCGAGGCGCGCGGCGGTTTCCCACCGTCGAAGCGCCCCCCGTCGCCCGTCGAAGCGCTCCCCCCCGTCGCCCGTCGAAGCGCCCCCGTCGCCCGTCGGAGCGCCCCCCGTCGCCCGTCGAAACGCCCCCGTCGCCCGTCGAAGCGCCCCTGGGACCCGCGCGCGGCCCGTACGGGCTGCGCCAGGCCCGCGCGCGGCCCGTACGGGCTGCGCCAGGCCCGCGCGCGGCCCGTACAGCCCGCGCGCGGCCCGTACGGCCTGCGCCAGGCCCGCGCGCGGCCCGGGCAGCCCGCGCGCGCCTCGTCCGGCCTGCGGCAGGCCCGTGCGCGCGCCTCGTCCGTCCCCCGAGCTTCTGCCGGCGCCCCACCCCCGCTACTGCCCGCGTTCCTGTGTTAGGGTTTGGGGGTGGCAGGTATGGGGGTGCCGTGAGTGTGAGCCGTCCCCTGCTCCTCCTCCTCCTCCGTCTCCCACTGCTGCAGCTGCCGCTGAGGGGGGTGGGTGTGTGGGGAGCCGAAGGAGTGGTGCTGGTTAGAGGGGTGACGTGGGAGTGGAGTTAGGGGTTGCAGCAGGGGGTGTGTGTTGGGGGGTGTGGGACAGTTGGAGGAGGTTGGGTGGAGGCAGCCGTCGTGTCGTCTGCAGCGCCTGTATTCCGGGGTTCTGATAGCCACCGGTAGCTCAGAGAGCCGGTTGCACCTGTCGCCCGTGGGTCCGTTGCTCCTGTCGCTGCTGATCAGACGCAGAGCCTGTTACTCCTGTATTCCGGGGCCCTTGCTCCCGGTAGCCACTAGAGCTGCACCAGAGCCGTCTGTTGCCCGTGTGTCTGCAGCTTCAGTCGTCGCCTCCACTCCTCTCTCCCCTCGCCAGCCCTCCTCCTCCTCACTTGCCCTCTGTGACCACCTCTAGCTTTGCTCATAATTGTGAACTTTAAACTATTGCTTCTTGAACTTGTGCTCAGAATGTGTGGTGACATTGTGATCCACCCTGAGCTTGTACTGCTTTGCTTGCTCTGCTGATTACACCCCACTTTGGCTATGGGGGTGTGTCAGAATATTATGCTCTAGCCTGTAGTGGGGTGCTCTATAGCGAGTACAACCCTTCTAGGGTTTGCTATTTGTATCCCCATTCTTGCTAGTGCAAACCCTCCTTTGCTCATTTCTCTCTTGCCTA